GCATGATTGTTACCAGCTTTGAAGATCGGGGTTGCTTCCACTCACTTGCTATAAAAACGACAGCAGCACATATCGTGATAGGGGTAAACAATAGTTGCAATTTCCAAACCTACGACTGGATGCCTTCCTTCAAATAACAGCTGAAGTGCGGTAAAAAATCGGTAGAACTGTTTCAAACACATCGTTGGTACTTGAGCGGTCGGCTTTCATCTCTTTTGCCAGTGGTGACGGGGGGGGGGGGGAACACCCCTCAACATCCCTCTTCAAAAGGGGAGTTTGGTAAAGAGAGATGAAAAAACCGATTTGTAACTTCCTTAAAAGTTGTCCTAGCTCGCTATTCTAATATCTATATGCAATTCTTCACACTGCCGTACTCTAACGGAACTATCAACTCTATGCTTTCATCTACTCCATCTATCGTATAAAAATTACCACTACAGTCTGTTATTTGAAATTAGCATCTTCAACTATGCAAATCGTTGACTTCACGCAGAAGTAGTACTAAAACATATAGTCAAAGTATAAAAAAAAAATGTTATTCGGAATATTAAAATCATTAGATGTTATTATGATATTATTTGCTTGTAAGTTAAAAGAAGAGGTTGTAAAGTACGCGTTTGACACAAAAAAAAACCTGTCAATTTCGCTTTCAGAGTGTCACAATCAGCGATTGTATTATTCGTGAGCATTTACTCAGAGTGAGCGCTCGTGAGTCGTAAAATCGCTGATTGTGACTATCCGGATGCGAATTCAACAGGTTTTATGTGTCAAACACTTGCCTTTTAACCGCTTTTGGAATACAACAAGTTCAAAATATGATTATAACATCTAATGATTCCAAGATTACGAAAATCATTTTTTTTATAGCAAATGAGTGGAAGCAAGCCATGGAGGCGAACCAGCCCCAGGCTGAAAGCCTCCCTAATAAAGATAAATTAATTAATGGAAGCAAGCCTGGTTTTAGGACTATTTTTCAGTGTAACAAAAAGGAGAAAAAAGTGGTGGAAAGTTACGCTCATTATCCAAAGTTACACGCATGTACGGTTCCGGTAATTGGTTTTAGTCTGAACATATTCGATGTACATGTTCATAGTACCATTATAGAAGTATTAAAATTACATCTGAAATAGTTACAACGTAAGAATTGTTTTAGCCAGCTTGATTGATCAAATACCCCTCCGTGCGGCTCATGGCCATGCGAGTCGTGGGTGCGTACATAACCATTTCGATGGAGGCAGTATGTGTTATCGCCGGTATGATCCCAATCGGCATCACATTGGCGGAGGACTACGAGTGCTATATGACGAGAGAAACCAGAGTACGAAAAATGGTGAGAACGGTGTCGATGGCTAAGTGGCAGCAGGAGTGGGATGCAGCAGAGAACGGTAGATGGACACCACAGGCTAATACCGATTCATTCGACCTGGGTGAACAGGAAGCATGGAGAAATCAACTTCCACTTCGGAGACGAACCAGCCCAGAGCTGAAAGTCTCCTTAATAAAGATATAAAAAAGTAGAAGGGTCTATGCCTAGGGGCACGAACGGAAGCTTGACGTAGGACTGCTAGTGGACGGAACAAATGTGAACATTTAGTTCTTTTAATTGATCAATCATCAATTATCTTAACTCTTTCCGTTTTTTATTTGTAAGCGTATCAAATTTGTAGTATTTATTTCAAAGAGAAAGTTGATGAAGAGAATCCAAGGAACTGTCAACTTGAGTATTTTCGATTCATCTACCCGACTTTAAAAGATGTTTTTTGAATTTTTTGTTATTTATGAATTTTTTGTTATTTATGAATTTTTAAGTTTTGTGCATTTTGGTTCAATTCACCCCTCACAGGATTTCCTCCCGAATTATATGAATGGGGCGAGGCGGAAAGTATCGTTTGTATAAAATATGTGAAAAAGGAGGGACTTAGAGAGATTGAACTCGTGAGAGCTAATTTTCTCACAAATTTGATTTTATTGGCTTTCTAATTTTAAGCTAATTTTCTCACAAATTTGATTTTATTGGTTTTCTGGGGACTGAATATACACCCAAAGCGAATTATTCCCACTTCTCTCAAATTCTATATGGATTTTTAACACTTCCTATCAGCGTGTTCTGGAAAATGGTCGGACGATGATTAATCTCACCAATACATTCGGGCCTACAATTCCACACCTTCTATAGAGACCAGGTTGAGCCTTGATAGCTAGCTGCTCGCGGGAACTGATGACCTTGACAAATGTCCAAATAATACTCTTAACAAATTTATGGTGGTCCTGAAAACGACCGTTTTGTAGTGATGGTTGAGTAATTCTGAGCTGGGTGTTCAACACGGATGAGGCTGTCGAGCTGTATGTCGTTTGGAGCGAGGGTGACACGCTTGGCATAGATGACCGACCCGCAGCGACTCACGAAGAGCTACTGATTCCGATCCATAGCATAGCGGTGCAGCTTCTTCCTCCTTTGATGGTTGCTTATGTGGGCTCTGCAGCTCGCTGCTTGCAGGCAGCCTTTCGTTGTAACTGGAGAACAATTTTCAACGCCACACGCCGAAAGCACTGCTACTGCTGCTTCTAATTTCGACGACCGAACACCACCATACAGTGGTGTTGTCGTTGGGAGCGTGTGGTTCTGAGTATGGCGATGAGTGTGCAAAATATTACGCAATTCCATCCTCCCTATTCGCACGTGCCCGAGGATCGGAGGCGAATGCCACTTCGACTTGTTTCGTCTACTTACTACTCTCTGACGACTGTGCTGGGGAAGCAGCATATGCATGTAGGTAATTGGTGGATTTGTTAGTTAACTCGACGCTTTTGTACAATGCTGGACATTTACCAGTTTTTCTATAGTTTATTGTTGAAAATCAACATTCGGAAGCATTGTTATCGATGCGTAGCCATATTTCTGATCGATTGGTGATAAAATTATTGAAATTGAACCAGGGGGAGCTGAGTTATAACCGTTCAAAATCTTTCATAATTTGTTACATGTTCCATTTTCGGTTTTCACAGAGTGTACCCCCATATAGAAATCAAAGACGTAGTCCTACGTCAAAAAAAAAAAAAACTTCCACTTGACGCAGTTCTTGTCTGGTCATGGCTGCTTCAGGAAGTACACTCAGGTCTTTTTTTACACGGGGGATACGTACCGTGTAAAAAAAACCGTGTAAAAAAAGACTTCAGTGTACCTGCATCGGTTCGGAAACACAACAACGTCACCCTTCTGTCCGGAGTGTGGGAATGTGGAAGAATCACCAGAGCACGTGGTCTTCGAATGTCCTAGATTTGATGCTATGCGATAGGATATGCTCGGAGGGCAGCTTTAACGCCAACAGCAGAGCAGTAGCGCAAATCATGTCAGCGCTGCAGCGGAAATGGCGAGAAGACCAACTAGAAAGTAGTTATGTGCTCACACAAGTGCAAAGTGAAAGCCGAAGCCGAGAGAACTCTCCGTCAGAGTAGACTGAATCCACCACCGGAGTTAACTGATTAGAACGCGACGCTGGGAGCTAAATGGCTCGCAAAATTGATTAGACGATCAGCAAACTGGAAGCGCCAATTAGCTGATGTAAGTGAGGTGCGTAATGATCCAGGGTGCCCAAGGAGGTTTTAGTGCGGTAAGAATCCCACATCCTTTATCTAAGAGGTAGTAATTAATCACAAATTACTTTCTAACAGCCAATCCTTCTTAACAACAGTTTGGACCTCGTACCACCTACGACATTGTGCAACCTGGTTTATGCTAAGCTATGTTATGCTATGAAACATAAAGATTCCAAAATTGGTTAGTGGTTTTGTGCACACAAAAGGCATGTCATATTGTTGTTTATGTAGCCAAGCCATAGTGGGAATGTCTTTGCCGTGAACAGTGAAAATATTTATATCTACTGCACGGTCGATAAGAGTAACTCAACATTCAGTCGAATTCGACTCAAAATTGCAAAATGTGGATTTACTCAGTGGATGAGAAAAATATTCAAAGATTTTCCTTAAACATCGGTTCGAATATCCGGGGAAATCGATGAAAATTTTACATATTTACGTAGTATGCATATTGGCTGAAAACTCAAATTTGAGTAGCTCTCATCGGCCGTGTACTTTCGGTGCAGTTAATCGACAATCATCGGCACTGTTAACACAATCGATGATGATGAATGTCCCCATTATTGGAAGCATTTAAAACAAACGACATCGAATGATTTATGATCCGATTTCCCCTTCACTCCTTCGTTTGCCGAAGCGATACAGCTTCGATTTAGAGTTTCTTTAACTGCACCAGAAGGGCTTTTGGACTTTTGTCTACGTGCCTACTTACCGTCATATAAGCGGTGGCATTCTTCGTTTTCATTTAACGATAGCAATGCAATCCAGTGCATGTGTGGTCCACCTGGGTAGCTTTGAAAAAAAAAGTGCCAACCTTTCAAGCATAGTTTTCAACAAATCCTTTAGTATCGCCAATACTTAGCGTGCTTTGCCATGTTCGCATGCTACTGACCAAAAGAACGCAACGCAACGCAATTCAATAGCCACCAAGTTGATCCGACATCAATCAAAACACATTATGAGTACCTACGTTGTTGATGCACTGCCCGTGGGTAATTATAGGTGTTTAGTCGGTTCTACTAAGCTTTGAGTTGCGTGATTTCGTTCAGATTTCAACGCCGTTGTAGACATGGACACCTCAGCCCCTGCTTTGAGTGAGGTGATACCTATGGTGGTCTAGTTAGCGGATCGAACGGATGGTAATTAATTTAATTTCTGTCTGGTATGGATAAGACCGGTCGTAAGTAAATGTAAGCACTTTTCAGTGGAGTGTTGTCTTTATTGTTATTTAATAACGATTGCAAAATAGCCTACACATAGATTTTTCTCTAAGCTAGAATTAATAATCAGCAGCAGGCTGCCGCAGATTGATAACCGAGAACCTTTGTCAGCAGTGTGAAGCGATAAAGAGTGGTTCTTGCTTAGGATTACTCTGGTAGAGAGAATCGAACCTTTCCTGACAATTAACCGTAGAGATTCCGAGGTTCAATGAAGGTGCGATGTGGACCGGACAGGTGCATGGAAACTTTGAACTTGAACTCGATGCGTTCGTACTTGAGATCGGTGGACAGCTTGAAGTTTCGCAGGATTTCCGTTATCATAGTCTTCATGCTCATAATGGCGTACCGGTTTCCTGGTTTTGAGAGAGAGAGAGAGAGAGAGAGAGATAGAGGGAGATGATATGATTAAATACATTCAAAATCGAGAGACCGAGTTGAAAATAAATTGTAACTAAATTGCAGGTAGTGCCTTAGCTGTTCATTTTCAAATTGGTGAGTGGAAACCTTAAGACACCCGGATTTTTTTTTTTTATCAAAATCCAAAATGGCGGCCAACATCTATATGGCTGCAGAACATTTTGGTTATGCCGATTGAAAACCTAAAATTTACCCTTTCCAGTGGTTTGCAAATATTTGGGATTGTCTCAGCGCTGTGGATTTGAAGTCGGAGCCGGACGCATTTTTTGGAGTCTAAGTTGTAGAACAAGTTTCGACTCCGACTGTAAGATAATTAAGGTACACGTGCAACTTGATTGGCTCATTAGAAAGTCGAATGGGTTTGAGAGGTTATCATGATAACTAACATGAACCATAGTTGAGAGAGCTGTTGATTTGGGTCTAACAAACCTCTTCATTGCAACTTCATGGTTTTGAACTTTGTATTCTTTTAGGTTTTTAAATTTCAGATTTAGCAGAACTTATTCGGACACAAAAGAAAGACAGGTTAATGTGATAATGTTATAGCGTATTGTGCTGCAACTAGGAAGTGGAACAAACACATGCTCTCAAAGGAAGTGAATAAAAACAATCAGATTTATAAAAAAAAAATCCTTGAAAATTTAAATTTAAGGCAGAACTGTGCAAAAGTGATGGGGGAAAAAGCTTCAAAATATAATGTAAGAAATAAATGTTTTTTAAATTTCCTTAAGTTGTGAGTTACACCCAGCGTTGATTGCAAATTGGTTTGTTTGCAGTTTTTTCTTGTTTAACTTGTTTAAAATTTTGGCTTCGGAAAACATAAATCGAGAACAGTTGGGCCGATTTTGTTTTATGATGTGGCCAATTTCTTTAAGGGGTTACGCCTACCTGTAAACTTTAAAAAAATCGATTTTTTTTATTGTCCTAATCGAAAGTATATAAAGTTAAGAATATTTCCTCAAAAGCCCAACAAACAATTGAGAGCTCTTATAGAACACCTGAGTTGATCAAACGTTGAATAAAAGCTTCCAAAGTTGAACAAGAATGTAGTTGTATTGCCATTTGATTAAAAGTTTTAAAAGCTGTTGGAGCACTCTTAAATGATTGTTTACGTTCGGTTTAACTATATGCTTTATAAGACCAACGATAACTTTTAAAGCACCTTAGTTAAACTGATTCACAAGAGCTATACAGAACGTGGAATAAACGCATCAAAACAAACAATTGGGAGCTCTTATAAAACACCTGAGTTGATCAAACGTTGAATAATGGCTTCCAGAGTTGTACAAGAATGTAGTTGTATTGCCTTTTTGGTTGAACGCTTCAAAAGCTGCTTGGAGCACTCTTAAATGATTGTTTACGTTCGGTTTACCTATATGCTTTATAAGACCTACGATAACTTTTATAGCATCTTAGTTAAACTGATTGACAAAAGCTATATAGAACGTGAAATAAACGCATCAAAACAAAGCATTGGGAGCTCTTATAAAACACCTGAGATGATCAAACGTTGAATAATAGCTTCCAGAGTTGAACAAGAATGTAGTTGTATTGCCTTTTTGGTTAGAAGCTTCAAAAGCTGTTTGGAGCACTCTTAAATGATTGTTTACGTTCGGTTTAACTATATGCTTTATAAGACCTACGATAACTTTTATAGCACCTTTGTTAAACTGATTGACAAGAGCTATATAGAACGAGAAATAAACGCATCAAAACAAACCATTGGGAGCTCTTATACAACACCTGAGTTGATCAAACGTTGAATAATAGCTTCCAGAGTTGTACAAGAATGTAGTTGTATTGCCATTTGGTTAAAAGCTTCAAAAACTGCTTGGAGCACTCTTAAATGATTGTTTACGTTCGGTTAAACTGTTTGAAAGGAGCCATGTAGGATGTGGAATAAACGCATCAAAACAAACCATTGGGATCTCTTATACAACACCTGAGTTGATCAAACGTTGAATAATAGCTTCCAGAGTTGTACAAGAATGTAGTTGTATTGCCATTTGGTTAAAAGCTTCAAAAACTGCTTGGAGCACTCTTAAATGATTGTTTACGTTCGACCAACCACAATTTTGTTGCTAAAAATAGCACAAGTGATAGGCATGTTTATATGACCATAAGGCAATGATTATTCGACTGCAAGAGAAGTTACTCAAGATGAGCTTGATATACTTCTCTCATATGATCAAAATATGTATTCAAGAATAGAGCAGATGGAAACAGAAGCGGCTGGCAATCCGGGATCATGAGTTCGAATCTTGCTTCGAGAAACCTTTGGTTGAGTAGAGGTAAATTATATATAGGTGTTATTAATAAATGCAAACATTAATTTAAGACATGTATCATATAATCAACGATAACATTTCTAGATAAATTCTCTCAATTAATGATTAGAGAGATTAATTGAAAGAATATCAATCAATGATTAAACAGATGCTTGTTACTACTTCCTCCATGATCACAGAATGTGAATTATGGCATAATTGCATATTTTTTCAATGTGCACAAATAAATTAAATTAATAAAAACTGTACAAGCAATTATTTTGGCGTACCACGACAATTGTTAAACTAATTTTAATCTGTGAATATTGTGAGTACTTACACAACGGTTATTAAGGAGTCATTAAAAAGTGCTATATTTAAACGCTTTTCACCGCTTGCTGTATAGTGATTATTTAGGAGTCATAAAAGAGTGTAACAAACGCCTCTCTAATACATTTCGAAGCAGCTGTTAGGAGGTGTCTACAAACGTTGTATTAGAGCTTTCACCAAAACAATAAAGCTTGACTTTAAATATGTATCTATAAACGTTGTATAAAAGTTGCTTCTATCTGGTTGTTAAGGAGTCATTGAAAAGTGCTATAAACGCTTTTCACCGCTTGCTGTACAATGATTATTTAGGAGTCATAAAAGAGTGCAACAAACGCCTCTCAGGTTTACTCTCTACTAAATTTCAAAGCAGCTGTCAAGAAGTGTCTACAAACGTTGTATAAGAGCTTTCACCAAAATAATAAAGCTTGAGTTTAATATGTATCTATAAACGTTGTATAAAAGTTGCTTCTACTCCTATACCGCGTATACATATAATGCTGTAGTTGAACAGGTTCTCCAAACCAGTGTAAACAAGAGTTTTACAGAAGTTGTAATAAACAAATTGTACAGTTATTATTCAGCATGAAGTTGAATAAAATAACAATGGAAGCGTTTCTTCAACAAGAAATTGATTTTGGATAAACGTTTTACTGAATATGTTAGACAACACCTTTGTGTTGCAGTTGTATATGTTCTCCAAACCAGTGCAAACAAGGGTTTTATAAAAGTTGTGGTGAACACATTGTGCAATTATTATTCAACATGCAGCTGAACAAAATCAAAACGAAAGCGTTTCTTCAACTGGAAATTGTTACTTGGGAGATCAAGTTGATCCGATGAAAATTGTGAAAGTTATGCGACGTACAAGAGTGTGGACTTATAGTGGACTAAACCCAACTTGAAACTTTAAACGCGATTATCTCGGAATCATATTTTCAAAACCGGTGCCAAAAATTTCTCGAAATGTATACATTCGATTCGTCCGACTCGTTTTGATTTCTGTTCAGTACTATTTTGTGCAGTCCACGATCGTTCGGATTTCGTCTATCATTTAATTTCGATTTTTTACAGCCGATCAGACAAATTTTAAGGATCAAAAATTGGCACTTCAACTTTGCAAGGCCGCCATTTTGTCAAAAAAAAAAAAAAAAAAAAAACCGAACGATCAAGGACTAGTTTAACACATGCTTAACGATTTGGCATGGTTTTTTTTATTATTTCAGATGATTACATCACAAACCGCAGTTGGCACCGCAAAAAGCGTTTTTTCGAACATCGTCCACGGGGAGCAGCCGTGCGGGGCACCAGGACCTCGTTTTTACAGCATCGACTGATAAATGTACCATTTAATGTGTGTTTAATAAACGGCAGAAAACCGATTTTCAATATGTTGCGTCGTTTTCGAGAAGAAAAAAAAACACCAAACTTTCGCTTTTTTTTTGGTCTTGCAGGTAGGCGTAACCCCTTAAACTACATTAGGATTTTTTTTTTTGGAACCAGTGTTTTCACAAGTGTCGGCCAAGTTATATAAAAATGGTCAAAAATTTCCACATTTATAAAGTTTTGCCTATTATAAACGCCCAACAATCTTGAGGTTTGTTCAAAGTTCAAAATATAAAATTCCAAATATATACCAAAAATATAATTTAAACAAATCTCAGTCCAAAATTATCAAAACTTTCTAAAGTACGAAACATAAAATATTATCCAAATAAGACAAAGTCATAATCTTTCCATGATTGTTGTTAGCTTAATAACGTGTGAGGTAATTCGTCGAAGTTCCAAAATATTGCCAATATGTCTTGGTTATATGCTGTCTAGTCCAAAATAAAAACGCCCTTGAAAATTGACCCTAGAAGTCAAATGGCCTGTTAATCCCCTGCTAGCAGTACGGCCAGTGATCCCCCTCGGTATTACTAGTGTCAACAAATCTCCTTCCATACTCACCGATGCAGCCTCTGTTGCCAGCGCTGAACGGAAGGTAAGCAAAAGGATGTCGGTTCTTGCTTTTCTCCGGCAGGAACCGATCCGGATTAAAGAGTTCAGCATCCTCGCCCCAGTAATCTTTCCGCCGGTGCATGGCATAGATGTTCAGAATGAAGATGTTACCCTTGGGAATGGTAAACTGATCCAGGTGCAGATCTTCCCGCGTTTTCCGCCCGATGACGGCTGCTACCGGAGCCAGCCTCTGGGACTCTTTGATGATCCGTTCTATGTAGACCAGTTCCTTTAAGACTTCGGGCGTGATCTTGGACTCCGGCGTTGGAAGGAACTCCTTAATTTCCTTGGCAGCCTTCTCCTGCACCTCCGGGTGCATCGCCAGAAATAGACAGGTGTGGGCCGCCTGCGTGGCTGAGGTTTCGTTTCCGGCAGCGATCATCGTGTAAATGTGATCGGAGATATCCTGGTGCGAGAAAGGTTTTCCATCGGGCAGTGGAATCGTCAGCAGCTGGTCGATGAAGATCTGCGGTTTCTTGTACGACAACAGATCATCTTCCCCTTCCTCGAAGTTGTCGTTGCCGGAATCGTTATTGGCGTTGTTGTTCGAGTCCTGTTTTCTCTTCAGCGTGGCAAGCTCTTGCTGCTTTTCACGAATGATCTGTCACGAAGATAAATAAATAAATAAGTCGAATTTCAAAGTGGCACTGACTGCCAACAAACACACCTTATCGGTAAAAGCGTAGCAGAACTTGCGGGACTCCATTTCGGCGCGATAAAATCGAGTGAAGCGGTACACTATGTTCGGATGGAGGCCAACGTTGAACATCCGAAGGCCGACGTTGTGAAGAATTCTGCGAAATCAAACCAAGAATTTCTAGTTGCCTTCAAATCAGTCAGAGAAACACACTTACATTTCCAGTCCTTCCACGAACTTTTGGGTTCCTTCTCGTTCCAAAACCTTACCACCGAGGGACGTCCGACAGATCATGGCCAGGGTGCATGGCGACGTGAACTCGAGGATGTTTAGCACTTTTCCCGGTTCAGCATGCTGTTTCAGGCGCTCGATCATTGTTTCCACGCAATCGTTGAAAAGCGGAATAAAACTGTTGAGGATGCGGGTGTTGAAGGTCGGATTCAGCAGCTTCCGGTGAATTTTCCAGGTGTCGTCTGTGGTGAGAAATAAAATGGGGACATTGATTGACTAAATCATTCTTGGTCGATTGCATGTTTAAGATCCGTGTTGCATGTTAATTATTAAAAATAAAACTGTTTGTTGGTCCCAGTGGCAGGGCGTCACAATATCAGCTTCAATCTTGTGTGAGCTTGCTGAAACTACCGATACAGTCATAGTTTTGGGAGACTATAATCAGCCTAGACTATCATGGCAATTTGATGCCGACATGAATTCTTACATCCTGACCAACGCTTCATCTGAACAAGAAATCGCTTTGACCCAGTCTATCCTTGCATGTGGATTACAGCAGGTTCAGGATGTACGTAACGTAAACGAGAGATTTTTTTTTATTATTTATTATAGTCACTTTAACGCTCTTGGGTCATTCGTGACTTGTCCGGGGGTGAGATTTGAACTCGTGACTTTGGCGTGAGAGGTATGGATGCTAACCACTACGCCGGGGTCGCCCCCAAACGAGAGATTACTTGACCTGGCTTTCGTTAGTGATACCGATAGAATCGAACTTTTCGAATCGAACTTTTCGAATCACCCTGTGGAATTTTAAAACTCGACGCTCATCACAAATCTTTTATCATCAAATTTGACTACCTTGGTAATACTGACGACGTTGGGCTGGACCGCTGTTATTACGATTTCAACTTCTACAATGAACCCCTTATCAACGCCCGGATACCCGACCAGAACGTTATAACAAAATTATATCACGATTATATCAACTTCTGTTGTACATAATAACCGTTGATATAATCTTGTTTTAAGAGCTCTGTGGTGAAATGAGGAATAAAAAATCATCATGGTATTTGACATAAAATTGTTACATAATTTGTTAGAATAAAAATTAAAACAACATTTCAACTAAGTTTGTTAGCATTAGTAGCACGAAAAATTAAACGGTTTGTTTTATTTTAATTTTTGTTTTGTTTTAACCTTAAGCCGGTTGTAGAATTTAAATTTATTTAAGGGCTACGGAAAAGTTTTTCACATGGAATTGAGTTAATAGGGTTAATGTCCCTATTGTCAGTCTAAGTGTTCCTAATATTGGGCCCATAAATAAATTTCGACGGTAAGCATTTTTTGATAATGATAAACTAAAAATCAAACATATTCATTTGTATTGTCCAGATGATGCATTGTTCTACGAAAAATTTAAGAGCGGGAGATATTTATTAGATCCATAGGTCACAGTTAGTGCTTTTTCTTCTATTTTTTACTGCATTCTCTTCTGATTGGGATGCTAAGAATTAAATAAATTATTACATTCAACTCTCCTTTACTCGATCTCTCCTTGACTTGATTCTCCCTAACTCGATGGAAATCCAGGGGCCTTATTTCGCAAGTCGAATCAAACTACCTAGCCCAAAGCGACTAAGCTACTATATATTGATTCCGTAATACCTGAAAATATTACGGTGGTGAACTAGCATTATAAAATTGAAATTGTCACTGCAAGACGCTTCTGATCAAAAGGCTGCGCAATAATAGTGTGAACCAATTATATATTCGCTCATGAACGGAATCCAAAAACATAAATTATCAGTTCAGTTGCGTTCTTTGAATTTTGGCGTGCACCTTTTCAAATAAATATTTTGCAATTTGTGAAAAACAATATGTTTTTGATGATATACAAATTACAATGATCAATGGAAAATTGCAACACTAACCGTCGAACATTAGCAATCAAAACTAACCTCGAATATATCTTTAATTTGCAATGGTGTGGGAGACAGATCTCAACGTATAACCAAACAAAATGTGCAACTAACACTGTATTATAATTCAAATAGTGCATATGCAATCAATGAATCGCTTTCATCTTATTTTTGTTTTGTTACATATAGGGGAAATGTCTCTAATGTTGGCCTATGGATCTAAGATTGGGCCCATCGCTAAAAATCTGCTATTTATCAATTTTATCCAGATGAACGCGTTATTGGGACTTTACTTATGGATATTTTTGGTTGCTATTGAAAATTTAGTCGATTGCTGAATTTAGGTATGGGCCCAAATTAGGGACACTTAGGTCGACATTACTTGCATTTCCCCTACTTAAATTAATTACTTTCATAGAGCTAAGTTTAATGCTTATGCTACTTAATAATCAGAAAAAAAATGAAATTTCTTTTTAGCGAGTGCAATGTAAACGGCAATATTTGAGAATTATAACAAACTTTGTTACAAATATATTTAGCCGTTTACGTCAGTGCAGAAAGAGTGCAGAGAGTGAGAGGTGTTGGGAACACACGATTTATTTTTAACTCAGTTGCCGGCGCTAGCGAACTAGGAAGGCTCTGCCTGGCATACACAAAAGGTTAGCTTGCATCTACTCCTTCGTCAACAGTAGATATAGACTAGATGGTGAAGGCACCAGATTTTCCACTAGCCAAGATTGATAAACGTCTGGGTTCGAATCCCTGTGGCAGCTATATAGACGCTTTTTGTGTCTGTGAAGCAGGCTAAGAGGAAAGAGAGTGAAGGGGTGCTGGGGGGGGGGGAGCAGATGGTTTTTTTTTTTTAATATTTTAACAACAATCTAAAAATAGAAAACACTCAAAAAATATGTTACCCAAAAACCGTGTTAAAAAGTCCAGTTCATACCCTTTTTAGTTTTTACCCTAATGGGTTATTTTGTAACAAGGTGTGTTAAAAATATGATATAACCCTAACAATAGTTGTTATATTCTTGATAGTACGTAGAAGATTTCTTGTTATATTTTTTGTTATTTTAACTACAAACGGTACATGTTTTATAACAGACCATGTTACGAATAATTTTATACCTCAGTAACACAGTGTGTATTATTTCTGATACTTCCTTCTGGTCGGGTAGGCTCGATAGACTGGACGACGCTTTTGACTGATTGTGACGTTGGCGATGCTGTTTTCCGGTTTTATGGTGCCATTTTCGATATCATCTACGAATATACTCCTATTCGACGACATTGCCTCCGTGTTCACTACAATCAACCATGGTGGCCCAACTTAATGGTGTTTGTCAACTCGTTGATCAACTCCATTGAAAAACGACGACAAGTTGATGCGATCTACGTGGACTTCAGTAAGGCGTTCGATAGGGTTCCACATGTGCTTGCAGTGGACAAAATTAGGTGTATGGGACTACCTTATTGGGCCACGAAGTGGCTACAGTCTTACTTAACTGACCGCTCAGCCTATGTGAGCATTAACGGTGTTAATTCGCCTAGTTTCGAGATACCCTCTGGTGTTCCCCAAGGTAGCCATTTGGGGCCCTTAATTTTCATCCTGTTCGTGAACGATCTGTGTAGTCGACAGTGTTCTTCGAAACTTATGTTCGCCGATGACTTAAAGATCTTTCGTACAATTAAGTCAAGACTTGGCTGTTGTGCACTCCAGAAGGATATTGATTCCCTATTGCGCTGGTGTACATTGAACGGTATGCAGGTTAATGTCACAAAATGCTGCGCAATATCTTTCAGCCGTTCACGCGAGCCCTTACGACATGACTATAGGATAGGACTCAGTAGTTTGCTCTTCGTTTTCTCAGTTAAGGATTTGGGTGTTATCATCGACTATAAAGTGAGATTCAATGAGCACATCTCCATGATAACTGCAAAAAGCATTCGCCACATTAGGTTTCTTGAAACGAAACACAAACGCATTCCAGGACATCTATGCGCTGAAATCACTATACTGTGCTCTCGTCCGCAGTCTTCTAGAGTATGCTGTTGTTGTGTGGGCACCCTTTTACGCTATTCAAGCTAACAGAATCGAAGCCATTCAGCGAAACTTCGTAAGATACGCTTTACGTGTTCTGCCCTGGAACGATTCGGTAAATTTGCCACCTTACGAAGAACGGTGCAGGCTGATTGACCTGGACACGTTGGCAGCAAGGAGGAAACTACTTCAGGGACTCTTCGTGTTTGGATTGCTTAACGGTGACGTGGATTGCAACTCTCTTGTGAGCCAAATCTACATCAATGCTCCTCAAAGAGCTCTACGTAGTTACACGCTTCCGTGGCAACCTACCCATCGAACCAACTATGGATTCAACGAACCGTGGACTTTGTGCTGTCGTGTGTTTAATGAAACGTTTGATGTATATGATTTTAACAATAGTAAGTCTACTTACAGACATAGAATTCGACACCTAGCCTAGAAAATATCTGGACAACATTATGTTGAAGATTTAATTAAATAAAAAAAAATCGAAAAAATCGATGAGACAAAGAAACAGCTAGCTTTCTGTTTCTGTTGAAGTCGAGCAGCTTCGCAGCATTCTAGCAGCTCAATCGGCATCTACAAACACATGTTCAATCGTTTGTTTCTCTTTCTCCCGTCGCTTCATTCGTCTTTTTTTAAGCTTTGGTGAAGTGGACGAGTGAAAGAGCGTTTTTTCGTACATGAAACACATCAACCGAGGTTTTATGACGAAAATGGGACGTAACGCATATTAAACAAATTGAAAGAGCGGTGACAGACTGTCGGTGAAAGGGATCGAAAGCCATAATAAGGATTCGTTTGACTCGAAAATCGACGATGCTTTCATTGAAAGCCATGAGCTAAGCAAAGATGAAAAAATCCACAGCCACCCTTTTGTTCTAAGCGTGCTTCTTCTTTCATTTTCGTTTCGTGATGATAGTCTAGCTAGGCGTTATAGAAACGATGCAGTTAAACACGTTGTATGAAAGAAAGAAAACTCGCGTTCATTTTAAAGCTTCGAATATTTATAGCCCTGCTCAGTGCTGTGGTGTTCGCGGGTATTCATTGAAAACTAAGCACACTGGTTTACATCGAGATGTTTTACGGCACAATTAATATACGCTATAAGAATGCAATCAAGCTTTAGGAATACATTTATTGAAACCTTTATTATGGATTATTTAGATCGATTTTATACTGTCTTTAATTTCATACCGGGTGTCTTCTCATTTGGCTAAATTAAATTCCTTTTGTTTTCCATAACATTAAAGGAGGTTTACAATAAGAAAGCTATTTC